AAAAAAATTAAAATTAAAAGAAAATTCAGATAATCAATCCCATTTTTATGGAACACAACTACCCATTCTCTTTTTTAATTCTAAAATAAATTTAAATTTTTTTAAAAAAGCCTCTCGCAAGTGCGGAAGCGCGTGCGGAGAGACTAGTTTCAATTATGTGTCTAGTTTGTTGCCGGCCCACTTCCTTCTGGCTCTTCCCTAATCAAGGTCCGATGGATCCATCCGAGTGTGAGGTTTTTATCTCAAAAGTGTCTGTGTGCAACTTGGAGAGAGCTACCCCATTCTGAACATCCACTTTTCCCATGGACAAATTGTATATATGCTAGAGCCCAATGCAATCAGATACTATTCATAAGCACTGTTTTTTAAACAGTAAAATGACATAAAAACCCCCCGTTTTACTGTTACAGAGCCTTATTTTTCCCAATAATACAGTAAATTGTCTATTTTGCCCTTTTAAAATTTTTCCCCTATGTTCCCTTTTTACCCCTCTCTCTTTGGGTGCTAACTCTCCCCACTGTTTCGTTTTCACAGAGCGATCGTCCGCTTCCAACCAACTTGGTTAGGCTGGTTGGGGGGCAGCCATGGGATGCACTGCTTCGGTCTTCGGGATTCCTTTGGGGCGTCGATTTCCATTTGGGCTGGTGCCTTAGGAATCACGCCGTTTGTTTAGTCTTCATCTCATCTCATCTGTCGTTGGTTCAGCCATCTTTTCCGAAGTTCGTCTGAGAGATTTTCGATCTGCAAGTTCTTCCATCGTTTCTCTTCAGGTTTGCATCCCCTCAAAGAAAACCATGTTCAACAAACATCAATTTCTAGGGTTATTTCGTTTAGGGTCATCGAGAAAGAAAGGTTTCCTTTCATTTTCTTGAAATAAATCATGTTTTAAAACCTATTTATCTAGATGGACTCTCAAGCATACGGTGCCTGGGGAAACATATGGTTTACTTTGTCAGTTCGATACGCTTGGTACATAAGTTCTGAAAATTGTATGGCCTGATTGAGCAGGGATGCTGTAGAGTTCTTGCTTGAATGTGTATGGTTTGTCCTTTAAAATTACAATTGAACATAATATCCTAGATATTAGGATTGCGGCAGGCTTATGTAGATCACATAGTCTGTGCAACGATTCAATCCTAAGTGAGAGAGTGGTTTTGTGATTTTGATTGTTTAGGGTGAGTTTTGATTGTTTAGGCAGTTATTAAAAAAAAAAAGATTAAAATTGGTGAATATTTCAATTTTTAGTTATATTTATTATTTGGTTTCTCTTTTGATCTTTCTTTTTAATTGTTTTTGTTGATTGATATAGTGATTGGTTTTATTTTTTATATTTTTTTAAAATTGTTTTGGGTTGTGTTTGATTTATGCTCAAAAGAATTGCCCCCAGTAGAATGAATAACCCTGCTCTGACATCTGCACATAATTGAAATTCACAACTAAGTTTCCTTATCTGTTTCCTTATCCCATGGGAATGGATCCTTTGATTTGGTTGCTTCCAGAAGATGTTCAATTGAGTTGTCAGGACAGAGAATGTAAATCTAGATCAACGCTTACAGAAAATTAAAGTTATATATTGAAGTTTTTGGTTTATAGAATCAGAGAGGCTGAGAAAACAGAAATCATGCTACAATATACCTGGAACGAAAATTTTTGCTGCCTCCTCCAAGGAACCTAAATCTGTTATGTCTTTGGCCTGTCCAAGTTAGCATATATTAGATAAACTGTACATTAGTATTTATCAAGCAGTTTAGAAAGTGTCACCTTATAAACAGGGCCAAATCCTCCCTCTCCCAGTTTATTCGCTACATTGAAGTTGTTTGTTGCAGCTAAAACTCTTTTTAAATTGAAGAGTGGTAGTTCTGCATCATTCTTCGCAGCTTCAGCTCTGGCTTTGCTTATAGTCTCACTCATACTGCCTTCCGTGCTCCCTGTTTCATTCTTATTATTAGAGCATTGGTTGTTTGGAATACTAGAATATATGTGTTGGTGTGAGTGAGAAAGACAAAGAGAAAGAGAAGGGTGGTAGCACTATACCTTCCATTCCCAAGTATTTCTTCCACAAGAAATAGCCAAGAACTATTGTAATCAATACCCCTGTTGCCGACGCTATTCCAATTACAGGGGACTTTTCCAATACATCATGGGAATGACTCTTACTACCTGCAATCTGTATGCTACTTTTCCCTCTGGTTATTTAGTTCAACTTACTTAATGAAACCAATACCCTCTGGTACGATGTGATTAAGAGTAAGTATGGGTTACAGGTGAATGGGTGGGACTCTAAAATAATATGAAATGTATGTAAACCAAATGTTTCCCTTTTTAGCAATGGGCTTTGGTAGGTTTTACTTTAGTTGTAGAAAACCGTTTTGACATTGAATAATATGAGTTTTGGCTTTTAACTGTCTCTTTAGTCGATGGTGGAAGTTGTTCTTAACTGTCTCAATGCATTTTTATGGACGTGTTTATCTAATATTTCTGAGGGTGGGGGGAGTTAAAGATAGATTGATAATAAAAAAACAAATATATATAGAGCATATTAATTGAGATACTCCATGTTGTGTGGCACTGGACTTGACTTAAAATAGACAAGAATAATCATTTGTGTTGATTATTTTGTTGTTTTTGCTGCTTTTGAATCGCTTTACAGTACTTCTAGGTTTTCTTTTTCTTTTTCTTTTTTTAAAACTTTCATGGTTTTCTTTTGTTTGTTGTAAAGTAAAACAGAAGTAGAAAAATAAAGGAAAGAAGATTGTGGCTTTTGATTCAATTGGTTGATGATTTTGTTTTGGATTTGGATTGTTTGGAGGATTTTCGCCATATTTTACCTTAATGAATAATGATGTTCCTATTTATGGATCCTTTTGTAGGAATGTAGTTTGTGATTAAAAATTTTGGGGTCCAAACAAGGAATCGATTTTTCATGAGCTTGATCAACAATAAGTAAATATTTTGCCCCTAAATTTTTTTGAATGGCTATACTTTAGGGGTTCACGGCTCTTTGGATGATGGTTTTAAATAGGAAAAAATGTGGGATTGATGGGTTGAAGTTTTTGGGCAAAAACAGTATGGATTTGGGGTTTCTCATTACAAGCGATGGTCTTTTTAGTTGTTTAGTCTGTTGTCACTAGATATTCTGTTTTCTTCTGTCTCTGTTTGTTTTTGTTTTCCAGGATTTTTCTTTTGTTTTAGTAATGGACTAACAAATTTTAAGCATCTCATATAAAAACACTGCACAGAAAAACATATTTGGACAGTTTTGGGACTAGAAAATCAGAAATTGCAATTTTTTCAATTTTTTCTTGCTTTTTCTCCTCTTCTCTCTAAACCATATCTGCTTTTCATGTTTTGTAGGTGGGGTTTTGCTGTTTTAGATAGAGCTGTTTGGTGGTTGTTCTTGGTTCTGTTAAGCAAGAGGTACATTTCTATGTTGAAATTCCAATTCATTGTTTCGAGTCTGTGAATAAAGCATGATAATTAGCTAATGGTATCAATTGACAATTGGTTAGGATAAATTTGAACTAATTGTTACGGTTGCACAGCTGTAAATAAAGCCAAGTAATTCTTATGTGGTTTGAACCAATGACAAGCTGTTTCATGTATGATCTGTACTTAGATACATATTAATATTTTGACTCTTTCCTTTTAGTTTACAGAAGATATGATGTATTTGGAGGGGTTGTTGATAAGAGTGATAACAACATGATACTGCTTTTGATTATATATTAATGCCTTTTCGTGTACTGAAGTTTTTTGAATTTTTTTGTTTTTTTTTAGAGAGCTTTTTTAACATGAAAAAGGACATGGAGTCGTTATAAACTGCCTTTGGTTTCATTTGATTGATGTTTTAGGTTGATTTTCAGACATATATGTTTGGTACAAAATTGGAGCTTGATCGTTAGATTGTTAGAAGCGACTGAGAAAACTCAATTATTGAATTAGAGTATGAAATTTTGATCTCTGTTTAAGGGGAAAAAGGGAAAAACAGACAAATGGAACTGAAAAATATAAAAAAATCTTCATTGTTTAGGGTGACTTTTGCATAGGTAACTTTTGATCGTATACTCTTTGTTTCAAATCCATCTAGGGTCATTTAAACAGCCCTTCACTTCACTGCTCTTTCTTCTTTCCTCTCTCTCCTCTTTCCTCCTCTTCTACTCAAGAACTTAAAAAAGTCCCTATGAGGATTATGTTTATCTTTCCTTTGCTTTAAAAGGAGATATAGGTAGAAAGGAACACCAAGCCACTTAAAAAATTGCTGAGCTTCAAAGCACCTTCAACAAACCCAGAATTGTATTCCTACTCTTCCTTCTATTTCAGGTCTACTTATTGTTCTCTCTCTCTCTCTCTCTCTCTCTGTGCTACGTCTTGAAACAGAGTATTTAAGAACTGTCAACAAACTCCAACACTCTCTTTCCTCTAATAATAATACAGACTGTGTCAATCCCATTAAAATTTTTTAAAAACCATTGCTGTGTGAGAATGTCTTAGAGACTCCAAAGTTACCACAACAACGTTTGGTTGACTCATGATTCCACAAAGCTAATTTGTATATTGGCTAAGATATTTGGTAGCAATATTGAGCTAGAAAACAATATAAATGTCAAACAGCAAAAAAATAAAATAATAATGAGTGTAAAGCTGCCGTTAACCCCATAAGCTCAAACTCAAATAAGTTTACCAAAATAGACGTCTTTTTGAAGAATAGAAGGAAGCATTTGATTCAAAACACCCGTTAAAAAATTTAAATATGCTACTACGTTATTTACACATCATCGATAAATAGATTATTAAGTTTTAAAAAAAAGTCTGTCACAAAATTTAATCAACAAATCATAAACCCTAAATTCCAACAAATCAAATAATCATATATAGTCATCTATAATCATTTTGCTTCGTTTCTTAATTTGATGGCCTTAATTGATTACAAATTTTCAACCAAATGTCTCAACTATATATACCAGTTCAACAACGCTTCTCATTAGTATATACATACTATTTTATCTTTATAAAATGAAATCAATTTGTTAATAAAATAATAAATATTTTTCATTTATGAGACTGTTTATACAAAACTAAATTTATGTTGATGTTAAAAATAGGAACACTGTTTTAAATAATGATAAAAAAATTTCTTACCTCTTTACTTTTCTCATCTTATAATCAAGGATAATCTGATGATCTATTTGTTATCTTGCCGCATGTACAAAAATGTTATATTTAAGTTCTTTGTTATCTTCTCCATCTTACTTGCTAAAGTTGAAAGTTCACATTACTTTGGTTGTTTTTGGGTCTTCCGGCTAACTACTTAGAACATGCATTTTAAGTTCAATTTTTGTTGGCCTGGCATTTCCATTTTTTAAGAATCTATTTCAACGAAGGCATTCAAGTTATATTGCTCAGTTATTTGGAGTTCACAGCAAGACATTCCATTTGAGTTCATTAAATGTCAAACTGCATAAAATAAGTAAGAGTCATGGTTTTAAAAAAATGGGACAAGGTTTTGCAATCATTAAGGATCTTACTGTTATTGGAATAGCTTCAAGAGATCAATGTTCCAAAAAGGAGTAACATACATTTGGAAAGGTGTTCACCCATGATCCTACGGCTGTGTCTGCAATTTTTGTTGGCTTGGCATTTCCCTTTTTTCTAATCATGCCTACCAAATGATTGTTCTGATATGAGGATTAAGGGTGCAATAAATTATTTCTTTTTATACCACTGAAGTTGGGATTTTTGAAGAAAAAGAACTATATCTTCATTTTGCAGTTTCAACCATTTTGGATTTTAACTGTCTTTATGAAGATGTTGATTCTTTCTTATATTCATGTCACAAATCAGTGGCATGCTCCTCAAGAGTTTTTTTTTCATTATTATTTTACGTGCTTATTCTCCTTGAATATTTAAGCTCAAAATGGTTAAACTGCCATCTGAAATTTTATTAATTGAGTTGTGTGTCTTCTGGATATTGTTAGCAAAGTAAAACGAATTAACAAATTTCCATTTCTCTCCATCTCTGCTTTCGCTTTCCTAAATTGCATTTGTTTTTTTGGCATCCGCATATTGTTTCACTTTAGTTTATGATTTTTTAAAGCATGAACATGATGAACATGACTTGCAAGACACCCTGCACTTCCTTTTTTTTCTTAGGTAACGCTCTGATTTCAGTTCTGGGTTTCATGAATGTCTAATCATGTTTTCCTTTGTACTTGGATTTCACTGTGCATTTCATATTAGTTTTTGGTTGTATGGATTCAATTTAAGTTTCATGCTTCATGATGTGTAATGTTAGAATTCTTTTGTAGTTACACTGTTAGAATCCTGAAATTTAAGTATTTGCTTCAAGTTGGTTGGTTGGTTGTATTTTAAGGCTATGTAATTATGTGGTTGTTGTTCTTCATTCTAATTACTGTTTATTCCTTTTTTTCAGTATGAATCACAGTTAGGCAGTCATCCAATTGCTTCTCAGAAGGGGACAGAAGATCGGGATGGCAAGAAAATCAAGTGCAGCAAGAAGAAAACCCTCATTTTTCAAGGCTCTTGTAGGCAACTTCTCTAACCAGCTGGTAAGTCCGCCTCCTATTTATGTACTCTGTCTACTCTACACTTCCCTCTAAAAAGAAAAATCCTTTTTATTACTGGAAATGAGAAACCTAAGCTTGTTATATCACAGTGGGTTTTGTAACTTTGATGATCCAAACCTAAGCTTTGAATCAACAGTTTTTTTGTTTTTGTTTTTGTTTTTGGGTCAATTGAATCAACAGTTTAGATAGAGTACTAAAGCTGCATGCTTTACTGGGTGTCGAACAATAGTACTTATTTTTGTTGGAAAAGGTCGTACAATAGTACTTTGTAAATCAATGATATCAGTTTCGGCTGTTCTATGAAGTATGGACCACCAATATCTTATTGTTGTAAATCAATGATATCTTGCTTGCTTTTTTCCCTTTTTAATGTAGTTACTTACCCCATTGAGTTCTAAACTGAGTTCATATTTTGTTTGTTTGTTTGTTTGTTATCTATATATAATATGCGGAACACCTTTTTGTGTTCATAATATTTTGTCTTTTGGAGTCAAATTAGGTTATGCAATGCAGTGGGGTCTTAATCCTCTTAAGTCCCTTAAACACCAATGAAAAAATCTGTAGAATCTGTAAAATGGTGAAGGTTTTGAATTGTTTATCATAAGCGACACCCTTTCTTATGAAAAAATCGTTCATGTTGTCCTTCAATTTCACTTTCGTTAGGACAGATGGACAGTCCCGCCATCCATTTTGTTATATTTTCTGTTAAATGCAGGGGCAAAATGGTATTTGTGTATTATTCATAATTTCCACTATCTGAATATTCATTTCACCCAAAAAATAAAAATAAAAACTAAAAAACCTTCTTCCTATCCTCGCCATCGCAGGTAGGGTGGGTATGGTTTGGGTGGGGGTAGGGGTTGTAGGAGCCCCATCAGTTGTTGCTAATTGGCTTGGTGTCGGGGGGAGGTTGTCCATGGCTTTGTTGGAATATTCATATGGTGGAAATTAAAAATAATACAAAAATACCATTTTGCCCCTGCATTTAACAGAAAAAGTTAACAAAACTGATGACATGACCTTTTGTCCTAACAGAACTAAAATTGAAGGACCACGAAAACAATTTTGGAAATTGAGGGAGCAAAATGCGAATCAGATCAAAGTTCAGGGACCATTTAACCTAAAAGGAAAATGCTAGGCTTACCACATTTTTATACCACATTGTATACCATCTCTCTAATAGAGGTGGGGCCCATTGTATTTGTGGGCTCCACCTCTATTAGAGAGGTTGTACGCAGTGTGGTATAAAAATGTGGTAAGCCTAGCATTACCCAACCTAAAAACCCCAAAATTTCAATGTTTGTGAATAAACGTTGTTGCTATGTTTGGTGATTGGCTCATGATTATATATTTGGGATTTTCTTACTTTTGTCGCAGCAAATCCCGCCGGCATTTCTCGTGCATTTTGAAGGTGGAAAAGTACCTCAGAAATCCCACCTTTGGACCTCGGCTGGAACTTGGCCCGTTAATGTGAAGAAGGCTGATAACAAGTTCTTTTTCGAAAAGGGTTGGAAGAAATTTGTGCATGACAATGATTTAAAGCTTTGTGAGTTTCTAGTCTTTGGATGTGCTGGAGATTTGGGATTCTATGTTGACATTTATGGAAGAAATGGCTGCAAAAGAGAGTTTGTAACGGCCAAAAGGGACAGACCTCATGAAGAGGGACATGGTATTGTAATTTACAGAAGGAGCCCAAGACATCATGGAAAACAGAATTTGCCTTCAGTTGATCCCATCAAATATGAAGCAACTGATACTGAATCTGAAACACCAATGCATCCATTGGCTATAAGTACTGGAAAAACTATTCCTCTTCAGAGAAACAATAGCTTCAACTCTGGAAAACCATTTTTCAAGGTTACAATACAGAACTCGTACATCTGTAAAGGTTATATGGTAAGCTTTCTATAGACAACCCTGCAGAGCCATCTCAACCTATGTTCACTTCTGTTTATAATTGTTTGTGTGGAAATAATTAAGCAATGATACATTTACAGAGCAAATTAAATCATAGATATTCTCTCCATATACTTTATTATTGTATTTCTTGTTTTCCTTCTTCTTCCAGTATTTGCCACGTAATTTTGTGAAGACGCATCTCACCGAGCAGCGAGCTACCGTTACTCTTCGGGTTTCGGATGGGAAAACTTGGCCTGTCAAGTTGGTATTTGAAGGTGTGAGAGGCAAACTCGGTGCTGGTTTCATGGCATTTTGCCGAGATAATAATTTAAAAGTTGGTGACATGTGTGTCTTTGTCTTGATTAACAAGATTGAGTTTTTATTTGAAGCTGTCTTTTACCGCAAGACAGAAGCTTCAAGTTGCACCTCATCACCAGGCAAGTAACCTGTTATTTTGTGCATTTCTACTCCTTTTTGGTCTGCCCTCTGCATAACTTAGACATATTTTGTTCTTTCTTTTTTGTTTTGGGATAGGTAAATCACGCCGGAGGATCAATTGAAGTCAGGTGATTAAAAGAGAAGCCTCATTCATAGATGAAGCTCTCATGATATGCTTCTTCTCTGAAAGAAGGCAGTCGATGCCTCCAAATTTAAAGAAGTACAAACATAATTAAGCAGTACAAGTTGCCTATGTATATCTTGTCCTCTGTTGTTGTTTTGATCACATTTCAACTGGGTCTTCTGAATGAACATTATGTTATGGATTTCATGGTTCTGAAAGAACATTATGTTATGGATTTCATGGGGTGTAGTGACATAGTATAACTATTCCTTAATTTTGATTTTCAACGTCTTCTTAAACAATTCATTTGAATATAGGTATCAATCTGCGAGATCTCTATATTTTTTCAAAGTGTTCAAGGTGTATAAACAGAAGGAACAAATTGCCACTCTTTAGAAGGTAAGAAAGTGCCTACTGTAACAAGGGGTCGCTCTCTCGCTACGCGAGGAGAGAGTTTTTATCAAAAATAGTCAAAATATACCCCCTATTTTTGTAAATGTCAATTTTTATAAGAACTTTCAAATATAGCAAAAAGCCCACTTGAATAGACTTAAATACCCTCAAAATTAAAAGCAATTTGCATCTAAGAGTTAAAATCGATTCAGACCATTTGCATTGTGGTTCAAAGAGAGAGAGAGAGAGAGAGAGAGAGAGATAAATGGTTCATTGTTTGAAAGTAGGAGGAAGGGGAGGAATGACTCTCTCTCATATCACCATCCCCTTTCCCCACCCTCCCGGACCTGACTTCAGCTTCCCCATCCCAAAAGCCGTTTTCAATCATCTGAAATTCAATTCACCAACTATAAATGAAATTCAGTTCAACTATAAGAAAACAGATTGATACTTATATCACTGGGAGAACAGAAAAATGTAGCAAAAAATAAGCATACAGAGTTTATATAAAAGATTTTTTTTTTATTTTAAATTTTTGGTCCAAATCTGTCTTTCATTAAAGAGAAGACACTAAGACGGTAGCAAGCCAAACCCAGATTCAAACACTGAACTTCCTCAGAAAAACAAGAGACCAAGATTACTGATAATTTGAGAATGGTATGGTTTTTTCGTTCTTCTTCTTCTTTTTAAAATTTTTTAATTCTTCAAGTAATATAATTCTCTTTCTTTGTTATTGCTGGTAAAATTGAATTTCAAATTATTGAGAATAGCTTTATGGGTACTTTATTATATATTATTGATTGCTTTCCGGGCTCTTTGTGTTCTGATGCCCTCTGATGCTAATTGATATGCGTTCTTATACTCATGTATCGTAGTGCTAGAGAGAAGTTGTTGAGTTTTAGCTACTTAGTTGTTCTCTATTTTTTATGTTCCCGATTTTCATTTATTATAATTCTGCAGTAGTTTGTCTCGTTTAATGTGGTGTTGATAAATTATATTCTAATCATGAATTCAGGCTTCATTCCTTCTTTTATTTGTTTTTAATTTTGAGGGCATTTGAGTCTATTTAAGTGAGTTTTTGGTTATTTTTTAAAGTTGTTATAAAAACTGACATTTATGAAAGTATGGGGTAAATTTTGGCTATTTTTGATAAAAACTCGCGAGGAGAGCCGTGTGTGAAATATTAGGGTTTAGGTTTTTCACGTTCAGCCGTCATCTCCTCCTCGGCCTAACCACGCTCGTTTTCATCCACGTTCAGTCGCTGTTGTCGCCCTCCTCAACTTGACAACGTCGAGTCACTTTTCTTCCACATCGAGTCAGTATCGTTTTTCTTCCACGTCGAGTCGGTACCGTTTTTCTTCCACGTCAAGTCGCTGTCGTCACTCCTCTCTGACTCTCGGGTGCTGGTCTCGTTGTTGTCTCTCTCATATCCTAGGTGTTGGTTTTGTCTTTCTCTTTCTCATTGGTGCGTCGGCATTTCCGATGGTTGCCTTGGTATGGTGGTTTCAGCGGTTCTACTGCTGCTATTGTGTCGATAGTATCTAAGTCAACAACGATCTTCTTTTTTTATTGTCTGAAATTTAGTACATAATAGAGTCTGTACATGCATACATAGGGCGAGCAGTGCAGGATGTGATAGGCTAGGCGATTGGAAAAACATGGCCTTGTAACCAGCCTCTCACATCCCACATTTGCATGATTCCATCAATTAAATTTTCTCTCTGTACATGTACATTTATATATTAATTTCTTAGTGAATTTAGTTAGACCATCATTTCCAGTTATCGTGATCCCAACTATATGGGTTCAACACAATACGGAACAAGATAATATAGACCAGAAAATAAAATTCCAGAACATGAATGCTAACATGACCAACACAAGGAAGCCCATCTGAATCAATTGAACGATGTCTCTCAATGTTACTTTCCCTGAAATATTTCCGAGAACCATCTGACCTACTCTTTTGATCAGACAAGTCAACTGTTTCTGTCTGCAAAACCCATCATTTGGTGAGCTAAAGAAGCACCAGTGAAAAATTAATAAAAATCAGAGCAAATGAACGATACTCTTGGGAACTTAAACGTTCATAGTGCCATCTAAAATATACCTAAAAGATAAATAAAAAAAGTTTTAAAAAAAGCTATTTATAGTAGTGCAGTGCAACATTGCAAGAAGAAACCTAATATATTTGTCCATGAAACATTCCACGCTCCACAGATGACTTGTTTAAAATCATGGCATCCTCCATATCATACCTAGATTTCATATGATGCTACAAATCAAAAGAAACAACTATATTTATAAGTTTTTTTCGTCTCAAAGTTTCTCACCCAGTATATGACAATACAGCAATGATTGCATTTGTGCCGGTTGGATATTCATTGATGCAGTACTTCTTATATGCACTTGTGCTTACAATGGGAGATTGAGGGGTCTGGCAATGCCCCAGTTTTCAATTTAACAATGAATTAGTGTGAGTATGAAAAGCATTAAAACCATGATGGAAAGGAAACAAGTATGAGTTAGTGCAGAAAGGTTGCTCACAATCAAAATATACAAATAAGACTAACAGACGAGAAGATAAAAACAGAACCAACCTGAAGATGATACAAATTTTGATCCGCACGATAGCGAAGTGCTTGTAAAGAGAAGGCCATTGTTTGTTTTGCCATCTACAATTCAGACGTACGTGGATGGTAACAAATGGAACAGTAAGTAAATTGCAGAACATATCCCACATTGAAGGAAACAAGCATTGAAGAAAATATCCCACATTCTAGGATTTTTATTAAAATATTTAATACTAATAATTTAATTAATAAAATAATTAATTAATAGTACAGCCGAGCGGCTATACTATATAAATAGAATATTCTAGCAGTATAGCCGAGCGGCTATACTCTATGCATAGAATATTTTTAAAGTATAGCCGCGCGGCTTGAACCTTTAAATAGCATAATCTTGATTTCCCTTTTTTAATTACTTTATTTAGTAGTTATGTTTTAATTATTATTGACTTAGTGAATAATTAGTAGTTATGTTTTAATTAAAAATAATAATTACATATGAAAGTAATTAAATAAGGCTAAGATATTATTTAATTACTACAAAGAAAATTTAAAATAAAGATACTAAACCTTTTTTTTTTTAACCTCTCCCGATGAATATTCGTCGACATAGGTCTATCCCGGCGAAATTTGCCGGAGTAGATCTCTCTCGACGAAATTTCGTCGGCAGAGGTATTTTCGTTGAGAGAGGTATTTTAATTGGTAGAGGAAATTTCATTGGCATAGGTATTTTCGTCAAGAGAGGTATTTTTGTGTTGTAGTGTTCTCGTCAGAGGTCTTTTCATAAAAGGTCTATGTGTCAATTGCTGTTTTATTTTATCTTGCTCTAGCACTGGTCTTGGATGACTGTTTCAGACTCTCATGTTAGTCTATGACATGTGTGATTCTCTTTCCTATCCTGAGGTTTGTCCCTCATGAATATTTTAATGAGGCCACCTTTTCATGTTGTTCTATGTAAGCTATTTTGATTCTATGAATAAATTCCATTTCTCAAAAAACAAAAAAAAACAAAAAATTTGCAAATCTTTAGGTCAAAGATATACCAGGCGTGTGAAGTTTTTTGGGACATTCACTATTATACTCAATATGGGGGCCCAAATTATAAAATTTATAAATAAATAAACCCTTATATGAAATGGACTTTGGAAACACACCCAAAACCCATTTACAACAAAACAAAGAGTCTTTTAACATCTTATAAATTATTAAACTGTCATCGATTTCTTAAAACAAGCTCAACCCCAAAATCTCATAAATAAAAAACCCAAAACACTCAATAGGGCATCAAAGTAATTTAATAATTAAAATTAAATTCAATAGGGTCAGCTGTCATTTTTTAAGGTTTTTTCTGGTTTGTTTATAGAAATTAAATGGTGTAGGGTTTATCTATATCATTAGTGCTAAAAATGGTTATATGACTAAATATCTCAAGTTTTTATTATTATTGGTGGTTGGTTTGCCTTTGCAAAGGCAAATTCTTTGTTTTTTGTTTTTTGTTTATTTTTTAGGGATTGTTTCAGTAACTTTTTGCTCAGGATAAAAGAGATGTAAATTCAATTTTGTCTTTCTTTTGTGGTTTAAAGAAGGCCTAATGAAAAGGAGAGGAGGTTCAATTTCCTATTCCCAACAAAGTCAGTTTTTCTATCAATGATTTTGGTGGAAACATTTTGGCCAATTTTAACTTATTTGGTACAATTTGATAAGAGTAGTTATCCATTACTATTAGGCCATTATCCGAGTCTCAATTGTCCCTTCTTAATTTTTTACTTTTCCAGAGTTATTACATATATAAAGAATTTAGCACTTTCATGTTTAATACTCTATTATATACGTAGGTACGTACTTCATTTTTAATATTACATTCGTGTTCTATACACGTCTCATATTTTTTTTAAAAGAAAATGTACAATAATCATATTGTACATGTACGTACGTATTTCTAATGTTTAATACACATATTTTTTACAAAATTTTCATTAAGACACACAAAATTCACGTATTATACAAATAATTCTCACATATTATTGAATAAGAATAATATTTATGTTATTAAAATTATATTAAAATATTATATAGTGGCGGATTAATATCTCATTTGGACATATTGAAACTAGCAAATTAATATCTATAAAGTACAAACTAATGCAACTAGGAGGGTCCTTTTTTCTTTTTCTTTTTTTAGTAAATAGTCTCGCCGTGCGGCTATACTACTATTTTAAAAAAATTAGTAACGCCGGTCGGCTATACTTATTTTCGACATGTGGCGCCTAATTGCTAGCAGGTCATTTTTTTAATTT